TCCTTCCTTCCTTCCTTCCTTCCTTCCTTCCTTCCTTCCTTCCTTCCTTCCTTCCTTCCTTCCTTCCTTCCTGTGCGTGCCTTTGAGTCAGTGTTGACTCCTGGCGACTGCCTGGTCTAGTCCTTGCAGTTTCTTGGCAAAGTTTTTTGGAAGTGGTTTGCCATTGCCTCCTTCCTAGGGCTGAGAGACAGTGACTGGCCCAAGGTCACCCAGCTGGCTTCTTGCCTAAGGTAGGACTAGAACTCATGGTCACCTGGTTTCTAGCCCAATGCCTTAGCCACTACACCATACTGGCTCTCAGAAGTTAAAGTAGGGATGGGAATAAGATTGGAGAACCTTTAAAGTCATCCTGAGCAAATAGAAAATTGGTGTCATAAAAATATAATAATCTGTAATTAGTACACTGAGGGAAAATATAATAAGGCTAATGCTATTCCCATTGGATAGGTAAAGATAAATGTGTCTAGTGATTTCATGGACATATCCATGAAGTCTTCATTAGCAACAATGGAGGTGGTTTACACTTGTGTTCTTTCAAGGTGGGTCTAGCTGCAGGATTCCAAGGTGATGTCCTGTTCAGATTCTAACTAGACCTGACCCTGCTTAGCTTCCAACCCCAGGTAAGGTCAGCCACATGCCATCACCTGCTAATAGTTTAGCAAAGCCCTAGATAATAATGATTATATGGTAATTATTAACTTTGATTGCTTCAGGAACATATGGCTGCCATATCTGGACAATAGAACTTCCAGAAATCAGCCTGCATGGTCCTGACAGTGTGTATCTTTATACCCATAATAAATTATTATCAAGTACAAGAGTTATAATCTATGGAGTTTAATATTTTATGTCTCCATAAGCCCTTTTTTCTTTTTGGTAGTGATTTGAAGAGACCGGTTTTCTCATCATTTTTAAAACAAACAACACTGCTACTATAGTCCTAGCAGAAGTTTAGACTCATAATGCAGTAGCGTCAGAAAATGCAGCTGTCATCAAGGAGGACCAATGAAATAAGAACAAAAGAAGAGGAGCAACAAAATACAAACCAAAGAAGACACCTGCTTGATCAAGACCTACGCCCACAGTCCAGTGTTCTGTGTCACACAATGGCCAACTAAAGGCATCTGGGAAGCTTACAAGCTAGAGAGTGATAGTCCCTTTCAACTGTTGCTTCCTAAGACCCAGCATTTAGAGTATGTTGCCTATGATTCAGGAGATAGTAAACAGCCATCAGTTTTCGTTTTAAAAGCTATTAATAACAATTAGTGGCCATTAGAATTGGCTGCCATCACTACAGCTAATAATGCAGTAATATCAGAAAGTGTAGCTGTTACCAAGTTCTTGCCAACATTCCCTTGGATGGGCAGATTCCAGCTGGAGTAGACGATCCACCAAAGTCACATAGGGCTTAAGAGGTGATAATCAGCCCTATGAATTGTGCCTGGAAGCCTACCGACAGGCAATACAGCTCCCACAGTAATCATGTCACATGAGTAATGTCGGCAAAACCTGTCACCACATGGGCTGCCTTATTTTGAACCAGCTGTACTTTCTGAAAGGTCCTCAAGTGCAGCACCATGTGGAATGAATTATAGTAGCCCAGACAAGAGGTGACAAAATCATGAATGACCATCAGTAACATCTGTCACTTCAGAAAAGGCCACACCTGGTGCATAAGTCAGAGATGTGTAAAGACTAACCTGAACACAATTTCCATTTGCTGTTCCAGCAGGAGCCATGAATCTAGAACATCCAGGTGGTGATTTTGTTCTCTGCAGAGGAGCCCAATACCAATTAGAGTCAAAGTGGGACTTCCTCTAAGAGTTAGAAGGCTTCTGAGTCCACAGCCATTCTGCCTTGATGAGATTGACCCTAAATCTGTTTAACTCCATCCAGACCCTAATAGCATCCAGGCTCTGGGATGAGGCTTTGACTGTATTTCCTGATCAGCTTGAGGTGGAGATATACAGCTAGGAATGATCAGCATACAGCATACTGATGATTCTTTACTCCATGCTGATGGATAACCTCTCTAACAGCGTCATGTAGATATTAAACAGGGACACAGGACCAAGTCCTGGGGCACCTCACATCAAAATGCCTGAGAGCTCAGCCTCTTTTCCTGATTGGATCATCCACCAAGGAAGGAGGAGAACCACTGCAGTACAGTGCCCCCAACTCCCAACCCTCATAGATGGTCCAGGAGGATACCATGAACAGTGGTACTGAAGGGTCCAGCAGTACCGGGGGGGGGGTCATACTTCCCCAAAACCCAACCAGAGCGGTCTCAGCCCCATGCCCAGGTTTGAATCCCAACTGAAAAGGATGCAGATAATACATTTCATCCAGAGCCTTCTGTAACTGCTATCCTACCACCACCTGATCAGTTGTTTCCAGTTCCCTTCCTAAGATTCCAAGCATGGATTTTGTTTTTTCCTTTTTATCCGTTATACAGAGGGTTTGACATTTTTATCCAACTGCCTATTGTGATTCCAAAATCTCTTTCCTGATGGATTTTATTAATGGATTGCTTTTTGGGGCCAACACGCATCCCTACACTGAACCACATTTGCCATTTTGAATGCCAGTCACCCAGTTTGGAGAGATCCTTCTGGAGCTCTCCACAATCCCTTTTTTTGTGTTACTACCTTGAATTGCAAACTCCGGAACACTGATATATGAGTCAAAGGCACCAGCTCCAATGTCAGTCCTTGGGGGATCTCACTTCGTGCATTTTGGTGTGAGACCTGCTCTTTTCTTCCCATTCTCTGTTTCCTTGGCAGCTGAGTTTGCTCAGCAGCTTTTGATGAGGGATTTTCTCAAAGGCTCTTTGAAGATTCAGCTGTACAACATCTATTGAGTCATTTCTGTCTGCATGGCTGTTGACCCCCTCAAAAAAGTCTAGAAATTTAGTGAGACAAGGCTTACCTTTGTAGAAGCTCCCTTGATACCTTTTCAGCAAATCGCATTTTTCTATGTGTTTGCTTATTTTTTCCTTAATAATAATTTCAACCATTTTGCCTGGGATAAGGAAAAGCTAACTCATCTTTCGTTTCCCAACCCCAGATCCTTTGTTAAAAAGTGGGATTACACTGGCTATTCTTCAGACCTCAAGAACAGGTGCTGATGTTAAAGAGAATTTTAACAATATTTTTGTTATGCAAGATACAGCAAATAATGCATTAATACAGACACTTATTATAGTATATTTGAGATCAATCAGTCAAAATACCCCTTCCTATTATTTTTATGGTCTCATGTTTTTTAAACCTTGATGCTGCTTACACCATTAATATTGAGTTACAGATAGTATCTAACTCTGTCAGTGATTACCAAGATAGACAAGTAATAACAAATGTTGGAAATGCTACAGCAAAGAAGGTACATTTGACCACATATGGTGATGCAAAAAACTCTCAAAAGTATTAGAAGGAATAAATCAAAACATTCAGAACATTTGAAACGTAACATTTGAACTGAAATAATAAATATTAATAGAAGTGAATATGTGTAGCTCAGGGTTGAATTGTGGAGTCCTTGGGGTTCTCTGAGCTTGGTTGTTTTCTTGCAAACATTTTGTTACCCGGCTAGGTAACATCTTCAGTGCTAGAATGGAATGGGGTTTGCTCCCTAATAAAAAATAGTTATTATGGAGTCCTTGGGGTTCTCTGAGCTTGGTGGTTTTCTTGCAAATGTCTTGTTACCTGACTAGGTAACATCTTCAGTGCTAGAATGGAAAAGGGTTTGCTCTCTATTTATATACAGTGACATGCCCTGTCAGTGTTGGTGGGGGTGTGGGTTTTGTTTTGTTTTTTCCTCTGGTATTGTTTACTGCTGATTGTATGTCTAGTGATAATCTTGCTGTTAATCTCTGCTTATCTGGGTGATGAT